GATTAATATGTAAATATGTGCTGCACATATAACAGTGTTAACTCTTGTTACCTGATTTTTTTTCATGATGTAATTTTACTACACACCTCTAGGGGGTCTTATCCCCCAGTATAAAGTCAAGTAGATTCATAGGAAAAATAAGTTGACATGTGACTTCCAGGTTCTGGCAGATGGAGGCGAGAGCGCGTTGACGCGGTAGTCAAATTAACTCCTCATCTGTACGTGCTCTCTTTTAAATAGGAATCGTTGCCACATTTCTTGTTAACATCTTTCATTTATCGCCGTCTCGTTTGTATTTGGCCAGTTTGGAGAAAGCCTCACCAAAACTGACCAGCCAGGCGTTTGCTATCACGGGAACTTGAAGACACTTGTACAAACGTGGATGGGTGACATGAATGGAGATGGCTCCAGATCGGCGATGTAGTATTTGGTTTTCCATCAAGGTCCAACGCCGAACACAAAATTAATTCGCTCGAGTCACCTTTATTTATATAGCGCTTTTAACAATACAGATTGTGTCAAAGCAACTGAACAGCATTAATTAGGAAAATAGTGTGTCAATAATGCAAAGTGACAATAGTAAACACTAATTTTTCAGTTAAAGGCAGTTCATCATTGAATTCAGTGATGTCATAATCCAGCTCAGTTCAGTTTAAATAGTCTCTGTGCAATCAAGTCAACGATATCGCTGGAAATTAAATAGAGCTCTTTTCATTTTTACAAACCAATCATAAAAATACAAATAGTACTTGCATTAATGCTTGTGATAAAACTAATACTCAGACAACAACTGCTCAACCAAGAACCTTTTATTATTGGGATTTTAAACTCTTCTGATCAAACAAGTGTTCAAACTGAACTACATTAAATATGAGGTCCTCTAAATGTTTTGAAACTGACATCCTCATCTCTCAACCAGTTTAGGTTTTACCATGCTTCAGCTTAGTATTGAATGAATAGTTTAGTGAATGGTTTCAATAGTTTGCGGTTAATAACCTTGCATAACCTACTTTTTTCAATTTCATTCCCTTTACAGCTAATGACATACAAAAGGGTTGGCCAATGTCGGTCCTGGATAGCCACAGGCTGTGTTCGAAATGGCATACTAACATACTAACTGACATCCTCATCTCTCAACCAGTTTAGGTTTTACCATGCTTCAGCTTAGTATTGAATGAATAGTTTAGTGAATGGTTTCAATAGTTTGCGGTTAATAACCTTGCATAACCTACTTTTTTCAATTTCATTCCCTTTACAGCTAATGACATACAAAAGGGTTGGCCAATGTCGGTCCTGGATAGCCACAGGCTGTGTTCGAAATGGCATACTAACATACTGCTTACTGCGCAGTATACAGTGTATACTGCCTACAATTTTTTTTTTTTAAAGAACAGTGTGTGAAACAGCATACAATAAGCAACAAAATGTTTCAGAGCAGTATGCTAGTGTTGTCACATGACAAACACTGAACCTTGATTCAGCACAGCTGTCGAGGCTGTTACCTTACAAATAAATGTGCTAACCTTTCTTTTTACAAAGGCTTGTTAATAAGGGTTCATAGTAGTAAACAATGCTACATTGCCCAATTGAACTAATTTCATTATTAACTTTTTACATATTGAACAGAACTGAATCAACAATGAGCTGTCTTTAAAGGGGTCATATGATGTTGCTAAAAAGAACATTATTTTGTGTATTTGGTGTAATTAAATGTGTTTATGCGGTTTAAGGTAAAAAAAAACATTATTTTCCACATACTGTACATTATTGTTTCTCCTCTATGCCCCGCCTTTCTGAGTCTGGAGCATAGAAAACAATTAAAATCAGTTGTAGTGGTAGTTGTATTTTATTAGCATGGCTACAGAGATGCTGCTATCAATAATAACAATAATAGTAATATCAGTGTATGTATACAGTAGTAAAATGTAACATACATTAATACAGGATCCTAACGTTATTCATCTTCCTCTGGATGGTGCTGTGAACCCAGACACGTCCGCGTTTGGCTTTCCATTGCATTTGGGACTTTTTGACAACAGGTACAAAACAGCGATTGTAGTTCTCTCCACCATGGTTGATCGTGCGAGTGACACGAAAAACATCCCGCAAGTAATCTAGAGCGAGTGACGCGATGCTCATATTCACTTCGCGTCTGGTGTGAACACACCATAAGAGTGATTCAGGACCAATCTGAGAGCAACTCTGAGCGAGGAAAAGACAAAAACTTTCATCTTAGTGAGGAGGTGGGGCTGACCCCGTTGATAGGTGTGACACATTTGTTTTTGAAGACTATGATTGGTTGTCCAAGTTCAAAAAAAGTTTTAAATAGGGTCTATTACAAGCCTTCACTTACAGGCCTAATTTTTCCTTTTTTACCCTAATCACACACACACATAAACACGCATATATATATAAATTAGTGCGTTAACGCAGGCGATACATTTTTTTCAGTTTAACGCGTTAAAAATATTTAACGCAATTAACACAGGGGCGGGGCTAGGGTTGGCCACCCCCACTCACAACTGCTGCTTCTGTCACTTTTTCTCTTGACAAGAAGTGTATTTATTCAGTCGCAGAACTAATGAGAACGGGAGACGTTTCAGACGCGCGCTCCACTTCAGTGCCAGTACTCTGCTTTGTACTCTGCTCGCACAAAGGCGCCGGCGCGCACTGTAGCCTGTATCCTTTCATATCAAAGAGTGAAATAAACTACGTGCATGCAATGTCGTGGTCGGTTAAGTCATGAAGTTACCATAAAGGCAATTAAAGCTGCCTTAAAACTGTGCATGTATGTAATATATTTGATATGAGTCACATTCAAGAACATGTCTCTGAAATGGTTTTCAAAACTGTCCTGGAGCAGCCCAGCACTGTCTCACTCATCTAACACACCCGATTTAACTCGTCAGCTCATTAATAGAAACTTTAAGGCCTGAAGTGGGTCAGAAAAGGTAAAAAGAGTTGAGAGAAAATATGATGCGTGTCAAATCTGCGTCACGTTCAGCAGCGGCAGCTCTTAAAGAAATAGCAGCCAAAACAATCTAATAACCAGCTGCTGTGATGTCTATTAATCAAAGGACAAAGAAAAAAAAGATCTTATAGTTTTAAGGATTCAAACATGACGATACTGAGACACAAACGGTTTTCATTCTCAAAGCTGAACTCACTCATTTGATCCTTATTAAAATGCTCCGCTCTACAGAAATAGAGAAGAAAAATCTAATAAAATCTAACAGTTAAGTAATAAGAGATACAGAAAATTGCTTAAATTAAACATTTATATAACAACACCGGTCTCTCCAATCAGTGCATCTATTATTTTTTAAAGTCTAATAAATGTTAAAATTGATGGGCATTTTATAGAGAAATCAGTATTGGTATCATTGATACTGGCCTTCAGTCAGAAAAAAGATGCCATTAAACAAATATAAGAAAAAATAGTCTTTATATTGTTTGTACATTAATTTGAAGATTGAATGTGAAATTATTGCAATATAAAAGTATATTTAAAAACTTTAATGTTAGGTGGGATTAATTGCGATAAATTTCAGAAAAATGTGCGATTAATTAGTTAATTTTTTTTATTCAATTGACAGCACTAATATATATAAAACTTTCTCCTCTGCTAAAGAAATTCTTAAAGGGGTCATATGATCCTATTTTAAAGATCATTATTTTGTGTATTTGGTGTAACAGAATATGTTGACATGCTTTAATGTTCAAAAAACACATTATTTTTAAATACTGTATATTATTGTAGTTCCTCTATGCCCCGCCTCTTATACATGCACAAATAGCTACATAACACACTAAAGACAAGGAAAAATAAAAATCGCATCATATGACTCCTTTAAGCCTCTTAAAAGTCCTCCTCCCTACTCCTAACACTTTTTGATCTTAAAGGATTAGTTCACTTCCAGAATAAAAATTTTTTGATAATTTACTCACCCCCATGTCATCAAAGATGATTGTCTTTCTTTCTTCAGTCGCAAAGAAATTTAAGTTTTTTGAGGAAAACATTCCAAGATTTTTCTCCATATAATGGACTTCAATGGTGCTCAACAGTTAGAACTTCCAAATTGCAGTTTCAGTGCAGCTTCAAAGGGCTCGACGCGATCCCAGCCGAGAAATACAAAATATAGATTTGAGTTGAAATATTTGAACGCAAAGCTTATGTGAACAGCAGTTGCGAGCAGCGGCAATTTCAAACTAGATGGACATTTGAGGGAAATGGTGCAGTCAAACCACTTATTACACAACATTTCACCACATAAATAATTATGGCGATAAAAGATATTGATTTAAGACAAAACTGTATTAAAATCTAACCAGTTTGTTAGTTATCTTATAATCCATTACAGTGTACGAAACAATCATGGCAAAATGGCAGCAGCTGCCTTTGTATGAAATGAGAGAGCGAGTCCACAATACCAAGATGACATTAAATGATTGTACACGTAATATTGAGTCGAGTTAACCAAATGCAAAGCTTCCACCAAGAAAAACTGTTCCTAGCAAGCGTATAGCGCCGACTTCAGTTACCCAGATGAGCCTGTGTTATCAGCTTTACTGGTTGTTATCGAGGCATAACATACCTCGTAATGTGGCGACTGACCAATCAGAATCAAGTTTTCCCACAGAGTCATGTAATAATGGGGCTTAAATCATGACTGATATGGTTTACAAATACAGTTTATCTGCAAAACTGAACATTGCTGAAAGGACAGTATTTTCTAATATTTTAGACCAGGGATGTCAAACTCCTGGAGGGCCACAGCCCTGCTGAGTTTAGCTCCAATGCTAATTGAACACACCTTAATCAAGGTCTTCATTACTTGAAAACTACAGTTTGGAGCAGGTTGGATCTAAATTCTGCAGGACTGTGACCCTCCAGGAGCTGAGTTTGACAGTCCTGTTTTAGACATGAATTGCAGATTTGTGCCATTGTTGCTTTTGCATTTAAACAAGGGTTAACTTGTATTTGTCTCTTTTCGCCCTAGACCTGTTGGTGCTGAAAGAAGAGCGTGAAGAACTGAATGAAATGCAAGATAAAGATCAGTGTAAGAAATATCATGATTCCATAACTGGACAAAAATCAGAAAAGACTTGCTCACAAAAAAGAGCTCAAAAGACTGTTAGTAGAAGTGATTTCACCTGCCAACAGTGTGGAAATAGTTTCAGTCGAAAAGGAAGCCTCCAAAGGCACATGATAATTCACACTGGAGAGAAACCTTATACATGCCATCAATGTGGAAGGAGTTTTCCACATAAACACAAACTCAATGCCCACATGAAAATTCACACTGGAGAGAAACCTTATACATGCCATCAATGTGGAAGGAGTTTTCCACATAAACACAAACTCAATGCCCACATGAAAATTCACACTGGAGAGAAGCCTTTCACCTGCAAACAGTGTGGAAAGAGTTTCATTGAAAAAACAATCCTTAAAAGCCACATGACAATTCACACAGAAGAAAAGCCTTACACCTGCTCTCAGTGTGGAAAAGGTTTTACTCAACAAGGAAGCTTTAACAGGCACATGATGATTCACGCTGGAGAACAGCCTTACAACTGCCAACAGTGTGGAAAAAACTTCAGTCAAATAGGAAGCTTTAAATACCACATGAGCACTCACACCAGTGTAGCGTCTGCATAAAATCATGCATGGTCTTTGGGGTTTATGGCTCAAGAGACCCCTTTTAGCCTTTGACATTTGCATATAAATTACAGTCCTGGTCACAGACTTTACATTTATATGGGGGCTAAATTGCCAAATAATCATCCCCACTATCAAGGAGATGCTAAGCAGTCCTCCACTATCATCTCCCCAACTACTTCAAACAGTTTCCAAAGACAAGTAAATGACACAAACACATAAAGACCTTTACTCTATTTAGACAATAATCAGTTACAAATATATCTGGTATATTGCATGTGTTGTTTGTGCGTTTCCCTATTAGATTAGCCGTTAAAGCCCTAAAACACTGATCTTCAGGTGTATGTATGTATCTTTGGTTTAATCTATTCTAAATGTTTCTTTCTTGGTATCAATATTATCTGCTCTTTATTCCTCAAACAATGATGTACAGTATGTGATTGTGAAACGCGTCATACGATTTGTACTATATTTTGGGTTAAACCTGCACCAATTCCAGACCGGCCATAAAACATGCAAATGGGCCATAAAGGGAGACAAAGGAAACTTCTCCCGCTCAAAAAATTCACGCCTGGTATTGGCTATTCCACCCAAAGTTGGGGGGTGAATAGACACCAATTCCAGACCGGCCATAAAACATGCAAATGGGCCATAAAGGGAAACAAAGGAAACTTCTCCCGTTCACAAATTCACGCCTGGTATTGGCCAGTCCACCCAGTATACAAACCCTCAAAAGGCATTAGCCCAAAATGATCTTTGCTCAGAAACCCTCTTCTTTTGAGACGACACTTTCCAAGACGACTTCTCCTCTTGAGTTTGTCTTGTACAATTATTTAGATGCTTGTTTAAGTTTCAGCCCCTTTTTAAGGTGATTTTTGATTCTTTGATGATTCTCATTAGGTTGTGTTTAAAATTGATATGAAATACTGCCATTCTTTTACTCTCTCTCTCTTTTCCTTACTTTGCTTCATTCTGTATATATGTGTTTTGCTTAGTTAGTTATATGTTAGATATAGTTTCATTTATTAAATCCCTTATATTCACAATCGATTCCCTCTGTTTGCTGCTCACAATTCGAAGTCACTGAATGTTTGAACACTTGCTACATGCTAAATTACTGCTAGCACTGCATAAAGAAGGAAAGCTACTTTCCTTGGCCAGGAAAATAATCTTTCCTTGAATTGATAAATGATTATATTGTCTGCTAGGTGGACGGACAGATCAAATAATTGTAATATTGATTCTGCTACAGTTAATTCTAAGATCTAATCTAAATATTTATTATTAATCATAACCAGTTATAATTAGTCATAAATATTTCCCTTTTGAGCTGATTTACTACACCAGAGAAAAGCATTAAACCTGCGTCTGTGTGGAAAGAGCTTCACAACAAAACTAAACCTTAGCTATCACATGAACAGAAGCCATTTACATGTGATCAGTGTGAAAAGAGCTTCAGACATAAAGTATCCCTTAATAAGCACATGAGGATTCACGCTGAAAAGAGGCCTTTCACGTATCTTCAGTGTGAAATTTGTTTCACATATCAAAAAGACCTCAAAACATAATTTGCAAACTCATTTTGGACAGACATTGCCGTGCTCCTCAGTGTGACAAGAGGTTTACAGAAAGGAGCTACTGCAAAAATGACAATGCTAGAAGATAGATGTAGCCACAATCAGGCTACATTCACACTGCAAGCCTTATGGTGTGTTACTCGCTCTAGATTACTCGCGGTATGTTTCGTGTCACTCGCGTGAATAAAAAAAGTGCGATCAACCATGGTGGAGATAACTACAATCACTGTTTTGCTCCTGTTGTCAGAAAGTCCCAAATACAATGGAAAGCCAAATGCCAACGTGTCTGGGTTCACAGCACCATCCAGAGGAGGATGAATATCAGTGTATGTATACAGTAGTAAAATGTAACATACATTAATACAGGATCCTAACGTTATTACTATTATTGTTATTATTGATAGCAGCATCTCTGTAGACATGCTAATAAAATACAACTATCACTACAACTGATTTTAATTGTTTTCTATGCTCCAGACCTATATAATAACAGACGGCTGCAATAATGCTCTCTTCTATTGTCTGATTCAACTGGACGTGTCAAGAATCAACAAGGAAACCTTAAAGCCCACATGAGGGTTCACACGGGAGAGAAGCCTTTCACATGCAAACTGTGTGGAAATAGTTTCAATCGAAAAACAAGCCTTCAAAGGCACATGATAATTCACACTGGAGAGAAACCTTATACATGCCATCAATGTGGAAGGAGTTTTCCACATAAACAAACTCTCAATGCCCACATGACAATTCACACTGGAGAGAAACCTTTCACCTGCAAACTGTGTGGAAAGAGTTTCATTCAAAAAACAATCCTTAAAAGCCACATGACAATTCACACAGGAGAAAAGCCGTTCACCTGCCAACAGTGTGGAAAATGTTTCACTCACAAAGGAACCCTTAAAAAACACATGAGCGTCCACACTGGCGAGAAGCCTTACACATGTTCTCAGTGTGGAAAACATTTTACTCAAGGAAGCTTTAACAGGCACATGATGATTCACACTGGAGAAAAGCCTTACACCTGTCAACAGTGTGGAAAAAGCTTCAATCAAAAAGGAAACTTTGAATACCACATGAGAATTCACACCAGAGAGAAGCGTTAAACCTGCATCTGTGTGGAAAGAGCTTCAAAACAAAACTAAACCTTAGCCATCACATGAACAGAAGCCATTTACATGTGATCAGTGTGAAAAGAGCTTCAGACATAAAGTATCCCTTAATAAGCACATGAGGATTCACGCTGAAAAGAGGCCTTTCACGTATCTTCAGTGTGAAATTTGTTTCACATATCAAAAAGACCTCAAAACATAATTTGCAAACTCATTTTGGACAGACATTGCCGTGCTCCTCAGTGTGACAAGAGGTTTACAGAAAGGAGCTACTGCAAAAATGACAATGCTAGAAGATAGATGTAGCCACAATCAGGCTACATTCACACTGCAAGCCTTATGGTGTGTTACTCGCTCTAGATTACTCGCGGTATGTTTCGTGTCACTCGCGTGAATAAATGCGATCAACCATGGTGGAGATAACTACAATCACTGTTTTGCTCCTGTTGTCAGAAAGTCCCAAATACAATGGAAAGCCAAATGCCAACGTGTCTGGGTTCACAGCACCATCCAGAGGAGGATGAATATCAGTGTATGTATACAGTAGTAAAATGTAACATACATTAATACAGGATCCTAACGTTATTACTATTATTGTTATTATTGATAGCAGCATCTCTGTAGACATGCTAATAAAATACAACTATCACTACAACTGATTTTAATTGTTTTCTATGCTCCAGACCTATATAATAACAGACGGCTGCAATAATGCTCTCTTCTATTGTCTGATTGAACTGGACGTGTCAAGAAGCTCTTCGCTGATTGGCTTGCGCGAGAACGTGTCATGCAAATTTTCCGCTCGAGTTGAAATTTTTGAACTTGCGCGGAAGATGCGATTGAGGCGAATGTCATGCATTCGCAGCAAACGCATCGTGCATTTCGCGTCAATCGCGCCGCGAATTTGCCTCTATTCGCGTCTTTGCGTTGACTTTGTATGGAACCAACTCTCGCGAATAATTACATTCGCGTCTGGTGTGAACACGCCATTAGTGCTCGATTCAGATTTTTGCTCAGATCAGATTTTTTTGTATAGCTGTTCACATTGTTTTAAATGTGGCCAATATCAGATTTCCAGTGTGAACAGATCATGGTTCTGAACTGACCCGTATGCGCAAAAGAACAATACGAACAGGGTTACCAGGTTTTCACAAAAAAAACAGTTTCCCCACAGAAAGGGAAACTGTGGACTTGGCAACACTTGTGCAGCGTGCTGTCATACGGAGGTAAACACCGAGGACATAAAGCAAGCGATTATGCATTTATTTATAGTGTGATCTGCCGCAGAAGCCAGCGAAATTATGAGAGGGAAATATGAAAAATAAAGACAAGGATGTGACGAAAGACAGCAGAGTTCACACACAGTGTCACTGCAATACTTATGAGTTCTGACACATCACTTAATAACTTTGGCTATGTAAAATCTTTGAAATGACTCCCATGAGCCCAGAATCGTGTCGAATATTGATGTAGAGCGACGTAAAAAAGTCGCATTAATTCAGAAATGACTGTTCACACTGCGGTCGCATTGCAAAACGTCTGACCTGTATCGGATTTAGTACCACACATGGAAGTGGCACAAATCGGAATTGAAAAGATCAGATTCCATGTGGTTTGTGCTGTTCACACTGTCATGACAAAAACAGACCTGAGTCACATGTGAGCGAATTTGGGCCACATTTGCCTGCAGTGTGAACATAGCCTCAGATGGCAAAAATGGGTCATTTGTAACTTTCATAAGCAGTTTCTGTGCAATGATGGGCATTAAATGCTGACTGTAATTCTTCAAAATTACTAGAGTTTCTCTGCAATATTGGGGGGGGGGGAATTAGAGACTATTTTAGAATCGTGTCGAATATTGATGTAGAGCGACGTAAAAAAGTCGCATTAATTCAGAAATGACTGTTCACACTGCGGTCGCATTGCAAAACGTCTGACCTGTATCGGATTTAGTACCACACATGGAAGTGGCACAAATCGGAATTGAAAAGATCAGATTCCATGTGGTTTGTGCTGTTCACACTGTCATGACAAAAACAGACCTGAGTCACATGGGAGCGAATTTGGGCCACATTTGCCTGCAGTGTGAACATAGCCTCAGATGGCAAAAATGGGTCATTTGTAACTTTCATAAGCAGTTTCTGTGCAATGATGGGCATTAAATGCTGACTGCTCTGCAATATTGGGGGGGGGAATTAGAGACTATTTTAAGTGCCCCTATTATGGATTTTTTTAAATTACCTTTCATGCAGTGTGTAACAGCTCTAAAGTGAATGAAAACATCCTGCAAAGTTTTAAATCTGAAATTGCACCGTGTATAAAGTTATTGTCTCTCAAATGAAAGAGTAGACTGAATCATTGAAATGAGTCATTTTTAAAACTAATCCCAAGCCGTTTCATGTTGACGTCAACATGAAACATTAGCATATTGCCCACCCACTTGTTGGTCTTTTCGGGTTGGTCTGAATGTAAATGCAAATTCATTCTTTGCCACTAAGTGCTGCTTTTGGAGCGGTAAAATAGCGGTTTCCCCGGTAACGCTGTACTCAAAGCAGCACTGTGCTCACAAACGCTGCTTTATCAGGCATTGCAGGCATGATGAAATTAAAATGAGACCAATCAGACCAATCACAGCAGATTAGCGTCACGCAAAGGAGGGGTTTGGAAAAAAAGAATCGTTGAGCGAATCGTTAGGGAGTTGAGCAAGTAAGGTAAAAATAAATGCATAT